ATAATGTGAAGGAGTACTGTGAGTTGGGAGCCCCAAAGTCTTACTCTTAACCCTGCCACTAACTCATAGTGTATCCCTAAGGAATTTACAACTTCTATGAATCTCAGCTTCACTGTCAGTAAAAGAGAGGTTGGGTTAAATGATTTTAGTTTCCTAATTTGAACACTCTTATTATTCTGTAAAATGGAATTGATGAGAAATTATATTAGCATTTTCTGTATCTTCAAAAAAAAGTAATATATAAGAAAAAGAGCCTAGAATTACTGTTATTTGAACACTGATATAGGTTCTGTGCCCCTTTATACCTTTTATTTTAGATACTCCCATCAGACAGATGGGAGAGACTAGAGTGAAGCCCATGAATAGGAAGCCTGGGATTTCTTTTGTAGGTTTAGTCCTGAGGACATGCTAGCAAAAGTTCAAGATAGTCTTTCTAGACCACAATTCCACTTAAATAGCTAACTTTAATCCTTAAGTTAGGCAAAGGAATAATTAAGAGTGGGGAAGTTGGGAGAGGAATATGTAGTTAAGTTTTTTAAGTTATACAAGGGTGGATTTATATAACACAACCTTCAGCTTACTATTTTCTCTACTTCATAACCACAAGAAAAGTCTACTGAATTTTTCTTGTGCTTTTTTTTCCTACATAATTTAAGACTGCTATTAGACTGTTTTGTGCTACAGGGACAAAAATGAACCCAAGCTTACTCCTGATTTAGTGGCTATTTTCACAACTGTCAATAGATGGCAATGCCACTCCACAAAAGAACTAAGACAAAACAATCTTTCCAAAGGAGCAAATAGGTTTACTGACTGAAAACTAGCCTTCAAAAATAAATGAATAAAAATTTTTAAAAAATGAAAACTAGTTTAGAAAATGCTATGTGCCCAAATATCTCTTCATAACAAAAATCCAAAACAAAATTTTAAAATTTAATGTTAGTGATGTTTTCTACACTATTTTATAAGAAGGAAAGGTTATTTTTTCAATGATATGAAGAAACTTAGTCAAAACACTATGGAAAGAGTTGGACTTGTGCAAAAGTAGGTTTGAATGTTACCTCTGCTACTTTAATGGCCCTGTGACCATGGTCAAATTATTTAACCTCTCTCAATCTCAGACTCTCATCTATAATAGAAAAGCTATAATAACATCTGATTCACAGGGCTGTTGTGCATGAGGCTTAAAGGAGATAATCTATGCAAATCACTTTGCAAACCTTACATTATACACACACGTATGTAGGCTTGTATGTGTGTGTGTATATGCCCACTATAATGATTATGCATGAAAGCAGAAGTGTCTCCATTTTTCTGAGATCACTAAGTTAAAACTGGAACAAGGACCCTCAGAATTTAGAGATGCGTTATATCAAATGTATAAACATGTTTGAGACAGAGACCAAGTTGTGGTAAACTCCAAGCGGATATATATGTATCATTATTATTGTTTATTTAAAATGTCAAAATGTCTTAAGTTTGGGGTTTTTTTTAAAGTGATGTTCAAGGGCAGCTAGGTGGCGCAGTGGATAAAGCACTGGCCCTGGAGTCAGGAGGACCTGAGTTCAATTTGGCCTCAGACCAAACACTTGACACTTACTAGCTGTGTGACCCTGGGTAAGTCACTCAACCCCAATTTCCTAAAAATAAAAATAAAAAAAATAGCCAAAGTGGAGGAAGTCCATTTCAGGCATGGAAAACAGCTTTAAAAAAAATAATAATAAAGTGATGTTCACAGGTTACAGAGAAGCATTTTGGAAGCACAAATGAAGTTTGTGGAGTACTGTAAAACGGAACGTATCACTGCATTCTACTTTATAAAGGCCTGGAATATTTCAAGCAGGCTCTTTACATAGGCTTAAAGGAATACCTCCAACATATTTTGTTTCCTGAACATGGTGATAACGATATTACAAGTCTGAATACAAAATCTACTCAGAAACGTAAGTGGGATAAAATGGCTGAAATAAGGCAAAATAAAATTTCTGCTTTATCTTTTAAAGAAATCGGTCTGATGATTATGAAAGGCAGTCAAATTGTCTTAACTACTCCTACCCACACTCCTCTCAAATCCCAATGAGGGCAGGGACCATATATGTCAAATTTATATTTTGTGCCTAATACAGTGTTTTGCACATAGAAGAATTGATTAGTATGCATGTTTGAATTGAGTAAGTTAATCCTTCTTGATTGCAATTCTTAAGTCTGTTGATAGGTGGCAGCCAGGTGGCACAATGGATAGAGCACTGGCCCTGGAGTCAGGAGGACCTGAGTTCAAATGTGCCCCAAATGCTTACTAGCTGTGTGACTCTGGGCTCTTAGGCACTTAATTCTATTTGCCTAAAATTTAAAAAAAAAGTCTGGGGACAAAATAAAATGGGTGATATGGGGGTGTCGTAGGTAAATGTATAAATCACAAGCACTATGAGAAGTAGCTTGGTTCTGGAGCCCTCACAGACTTAGCACCACTTCAGATGTCTTAGCCTCAAAATACTAGGTTAAAACACACTTCTTACAAACAAATGTCTTCCACTGAACCCATGAGGAATGATACTGTTGACATTTAGCAGTATTTAACAGACTCTATTCCAGAAATAGCCACTGGGCATATAGGACTGCCACCTTAGTTTCAGACAACAGGATCATGGTCTCTGATTGATTCACCTCCCTGAGGCTAAGGCTGCTCATCTACAAAATGAGCAGGCTGGGCTCTAATGAGGGTCCTTTCTAGCTCTAAAACTTCATAAACATTTTTAATTCTAAACTATGAATAAAATATGGTAAAATAGAAACTTTCTAAAGAAGCTTTTCTTTGGCAATTACTGAGTCAGACAAGGCCATTACCAGAGCAGATTCAGGTTACAATTATGTGTTATCCCAAGATACTTTCATTTGTTACCAACTACATGAACAAAAGTATGTTATTCTGTATCACAGTGAAAAAAACAACTTTAATAGGTTCATTTAAATCACTACGCTGGTTGAGTCATTAGGATCAGATTCTGGAGGCAGGAAGGGAAGAGCTAAGCCTTCGCCTTCTCTTTAGTACCTAAAAGAATGTTAGATTTTAATAAAGTTAACAGTTTGGCCACGTATGTCAAAATGAATTGAATTACTACAATATGGTTAATAAGGAACATGTGTTGCAATTTTCTTAATTTTGATAACAAAAAAGAAAAGTTTGTAAATAGTCAATCTTACATTAATTACATTTTTCTTCAAAAGCTCATCCAACCTACTAACTTGGCACAAAAAGAAAAAATGGTTGCACTGATTTAAACAAAAATACTCTGTAGATGATCAAGAAAATTTCTAAAAATTACTAGGAATATTCTGCACAAAGCATATTTACACAAACCCTCAAGTTCTGACTTGAACCCAAAGCACATCTCTACCAAAATTCTGTATTCCAATTCAAATTTTTTTGTCCATTCCCCTTCAAAGTTCTGATCTGTCAACTTGGAGGCTTATCTAAATTTTAAGACAATCAATCCAATTTATAGAACTATGATTACTACAGTATGCAGTTTTCTTAGAATTAAGAATTTAAATAACTTGTTTTACTGTCTTTCTGGTTCAACCATTAACTGGACATTTTTTAATCTGCCTATTTCCATTCCTTCATATAAACAGTGATAACAGCTGTGACTGTCTCACCTAACTCAAAGGCAGTTAGCAGTTATTATCTAGAGCACTAGGAGTTTCTTGGATGAGAAGAACTGTCTTTCTTCTACTTCCCAAAATATCTAAACAAAATGCCACCTGTGATATGAAACTGGTGTGCATAAAATTCAGCTTTAAATCTGAAAAAAGTTGCACTGAATTTCAAGAGGCTTTGTCATAATGCTGTCTGTTTAAAATCTGTGAAGAACAAGAACATGGCTATAGAGCCATAGTGATTCAAAGGCTACATCAACAGAATTATTCAAAATTCCTCAGCCAGAGAAATCAACTACGTATTTCTATGCAAAAAAAGAGTTGTTATTGACATGCCATTCAGAGACATTTAGGGAGATCCCTGAGCCCCAGGGAAACAGGGGTTCCCATCTGATTTAGGACTTCATTGCTAGAACACTCCAAGGAACCACAAACTTTCAAAGAAGAGCCCCCAATAGTAGTTTGACTGCATAGCAGATGTACCAACTCTGGACTTCATCACCTCAGAAATAGTTCTGTTGCAGTTGGAAAGGAAGGTGCTCTAGCTGTAAACACATGTACATAGTCAATGGTCAATTTCAAACTGGTTCAAAGAAAAACACAGGAAGAAAGATTTCTCATTGCTCCAAGTGGTTTTTGGCATCAGTGAGGCCCTTTGGCTCATTTCTTGACAGTAAGTTAAGCTTTCCTTCCCTGTGCTACTACTACCACCAGCGCAATTCAGTCTTCATTGCAGGGCATTAACAGTATCAAAAGGTATCAAAAGAATTTCAAAAGGAACACTGGTGAATTCAAAGGGAAGACCTCTTTGCAGAGGAAGCAACTCTAGTAGCAACAGAAAGCAATAGCGATACTGGAGGCATCCTGTACCTGCACTATAATGGAAGATACCTGATGGTTACTTGGGGCCTAGAAGCTTTTTGTTTAGTAAGGTGCTTCTCAGGACCCATGCACATATTCTTCAGTTGAGTTTCTGCCATAAGGAACCTGAATCCTAACGCTCATTGAATGATTGATTGCCACCGTAGTGTGGGCTGGTTTACAACAAAATCTACAGTGTCTTTATCTGTATTTCCAAAACATAAGACCATGCGATTCTTAGTGAAGAGCAATGACACTGCCAACAGTGAAAAATAAAAGTGGACGCAAGTACATGACTCAGTTTAGGAAGAAAAATCAGACTTATGACAGTAGAGATTATTGAGCATTCCCAATCCTTATTTTGTTTTTGTAGACCAATGTAGCTAGCAAAATACAAAAGTCTCATGGCGCCTTAAAAAAAACCAAAACAATTTATACAGTACATATATAAATGAATACATTTTAAAACATGAAAAAAATACCTGAAATTGAACTCTTGGACACTGAATCAGAGATAAATTAGTACCGATCTTCCTTACAATACTTCGAGATGAACCATATGGTTTGCCTGACCAGAGTACCTGAGAAAATAGAGAAACCAAATATTTAATGACAATCCTTACAACACTGTTAATACAAGGTGTATCAGTCAATTATAAAACACATGCACCGACTGTGCCACATAATTAGATGGCACACTATAATAATAAAATGCTCCACATTTTGGGGGAATAGCTCAAGTATTTCCCAATTAAAAATTAAGAGCATTTAGCTTAAGCTATTAATAATGCAACAAAGGTTATTGCAGAGAGCATGTGTAATGGCAATATATTGAAACTAATATTTAATTTGATGTCATGTTTACTATTATATCACATCGTCTACTTTCAGAGAATTTTTCACCTACTGTTTTCTACCAAAGGACCAACCTTTGAGGTTAACTCTTTCATTTTAGAAAATTTGAAGATTCAGACTCAAAGCATAAGATCTAATCATAACACAAATGTGTTGGGATTTAAATAATATTATCAGATATTTTACATCAAATAAAAATGGATACAGAATGCTTTGCAAATCTTAAAACACTGCAGTATCAGCTATAATTATTAATGTATGACACACAGAACAAAAAAGGCAAAACTTAACAAAAGAAAACAATATCAGGCACTCATGTGGATTAGTGGATGCACACTGGATCTTCTACGAAGCCTGACAATGTGATTTCTTAAGTACATTGGCCTTTCACTGAAAGGATATATGTGACTGCATGAATACTTTATTTGAAAGAAAAGACAGATGAGATAGAGGCAAACAATTTAGTAGGAAGACCAGGTGAAGACAATCATTAATAAGGAAGAGAAGTGAGACATTAAAAGTAAATCCTAAAGAAAAGAATGGAAGTGGCACAAGACTGAATTATAATTCCTATTACACATTACTGTCTGTGATATCTGTGACTACATTCTAACTGTTTATATATTGAAATCTTGTAATTAAGTAGACTGTGCTCCCTCCAGGTAGCCCTGAGGCTGGAGATAACACTGAGTGCAGAAAGCTCTAAATCAAGAGCCAGAGACTTGGTTTGGAATCTTGGCTCTGTCAATTATGCCTCTTCGGCCTCTCTTTCCTCATCTGTAAATAAGGTTTTAGGCTCAACCTTTGAGACCCTTTATGGCTCTGATCTACTCTGACTCTACCTTACTGTTACTCAGGGTATAATAATGAAGGTAATGCTACCTAGGTGGTTCTGGAGCTTGGTCCAGACTGGCCCCTTGGGCATACATTATCACAAATCAGACTGAGCTCAAGCTAGTATCTCTGCAGTGCTCCAGATGAAGGAGAACTTAAGTTTCAAGTCAAACTCTGCTCTACTTATGCTAACCTTGAACTCTGAGAGTTGGGCCAAAGCCAAACACAATTTGGGAGAACTCAGGACAGGAATAGCATTTGTCTCCCTTCAGGGATTCTACATAATTTCCATTTTTAGCATGTCCAGGGTCTCACTGATTTCTGAGTGGGTAAAGGCCAGAAAAAAAAATGGGTTAAGAGAGTTAAGAATTAGATCTGAAATTTAGATGATATAACTCCCACCTAACAGAGAGGACTATCATTTAAATACATCCTTGAACAGAAGTAGGTTATATGGGAGAGGAAGGACATCTGACAAAAGGGAAAGTGTGAGGCAACACAGAGTTTTATTAATGGATAAATAAAACAAAGCAATTGCCAAGCCAAGAAAAAAATTTGAACGGGCATGCAAAAGGCAGAGACTTAACAGATAACATTTAAGAAAATCTTTACCTTAAACATTTTTCAATGGGCTTCCTTAGTCTTGATCTTTTAAAAATAGAATCATAAATTAGGGCAAAAAACGGCAACCTTCAGTTATTAATACTGTGCTTTCTTAATTTTTTTCCCTGTAATTCTAATAGTAAGCCATAGTTCAAATAATACTATGACATGAGAAATGAATTTAGTTAAAGCAAAATACAATTTGATCATCACACTAGTAATAAAGTATGGGAAAAAAATACTCAAAAGAAATCCAACTTTCTTTTCAATAAGAGTAGATCTGGAATGGATATGATGAGAAAGGAGAAAGCTCAACAAGAGAAGTAAAAGATTTGCCAATACCTTTTCCAGCTTATGGCACTATGGCTTGTATAGTAAACATGCAGGTACAGAGTCCTAAGTTTTCTACATTACTATTTTCTTAACTGTTTCATAGAAAACCAAAACAAGACCAAAGCTTTTACAGAAAAAGGAAGTTGTAGTTAAAAAAAAAAACCATGCCTGAACAACACAGAAGGTGATGGTTGTATTTGATTACTTTCTTTTTTTAATGACAACAGTGAGCTAAAAAATGAATAGTACTCTTCTGTTTTTGTTACCTGTGTTCTGCATGGCACCTTGCACTGTATTAAGAAACAGGAGGCAAAGGTCTGTGCATTCTGCTCACTGGGGCCTCTAGGGAGAGGATGAAATAGTTGCTTCTGTTACAGTATGAAGAAGATAAGTGGAGAAAAAGAGCAGCTAACCTCCAGGAGTCACAGAATTAGGTCTTCCTTTATTTTCTCTGCTCAGCCCTCATGAGAAAAAAATGCAAATAGCTATAAAGGAATAGGGAACAGATGGTACTGAAAAGTCACCATCTGTACACTGGGAGGCTGTTTGACCCAAGTGGGTCTCTTTCCCTCTACTCCTGGCTCAACTGTGCCTTGTAAATGTAGATGTGTAGAAAATGATTTCCTCTATTTTGAAGCAATTAAGATATACTGTTATTTGGATATACCCAGACAGCAATCAGAGAAGAGGGAGAGGTAAAAGCTACTTGATATTGACCTTATATTGCCTAATCTCTAAAGTGGATCACTTTCCAAAAATTTTCTAAACAGTGAAATTATTCTTGATTTTATCCATTTGTTATGCACTTAGTGTGTATTTATATATAAAAACCAAATGCACACACAAGGAGGTAACTATAGCTATATTAATGCTAAGAGAAATTCTGGGAAAGGATTTGAGAGGTAGAGAGACAGTGTGCATGTGTGTATATGTATCTAGTTGTGACAGTCCATAACATTTAGCAACAGTGTTTAAATGTGATGACAGCAAAATGGGGGGAATCTGGTGACATTAGGAAAGCAGTTTGTTCTATTTTAACATTGTGAAATGGTACAGTAGAGGTGTTGAAGTGTGAGGCTTGAGTCTGAAGCTGTCATCTGTCTGAGGCATGCTGGCTACATACCCTAGCTTCATGTAGTAGTAAAGGGAATTATAATTAATGCTGCCATAATTCTACTTTATTTTCTATTTTTAAATTTGTTCTACATTAACTTATTCAGATTCATGTAATAATCTGATAGACAATATTTAGTAGGAAATACCAACTGTAAATTTAATCCCAATGAACACTTTTAAGTGAATGGATTGTTTTAAATACCAGCTAGGAAAAAATAAGCTCTTGGTTTTTTTAGACTATGAGTGTGAAGTGGGGAAGAAAAGGAAAATTAAGTTGTACATTAAACAAAAAAATCCAGGACAGTGGAACCCCCTAGGATTCTCATAAAAATTCCTAACCAAAGGACACACCATTTTTCTTGGTTGTCTTCTTTCTCTTCTGAAATTCTTAGCCACACATATGTTCCTACTACAGAACATAGGAAGCAAAAAAGTTCATTCCTTAAAACAATAAGAAAATTCTAAATTCATATTCTCTTTCCCCACAGATTCAACACTGGCTGTCCACTACAAGCAAGAGATCAGCAACCCACCAGTTCCACAATATCTGCTTCCTCAAATGGGAAAAAAAAAGCTAATATTAAAAACACATATGAGATTCTTCATTAAAGAGGAAAAGAATGGAGAAGTAAAAATATGTTTTAAAATCTAAAAAGGGGCATAGGGAAGATGATACAAAGACTAAAAATAAGGAATATCAATTCAGAATTAAAGATATAGAACTAGAATGGACCTCTGAGATGATCTCGTATAATTCCTTCATTTTACAAATGAAGAAATTGAAGCCTAGGGAGGAGGAAGAAGTGGAAGTGGTGGAGTCAAGTACTAGAAGTACCAGAAGTAGTAGCAATAGCAGCAGTAATAACAGTAATAGTAGCAGTAGTAGTTGCAGTAACAGTAGTAGTAGCAGTGATGATGATGATTAGCATTAATGTAGTGCTTTGAGATTTACAAAGCACTTTATAGGTGTTACCTCATTTGATAATCACAACAATCCTTTGATTTTGCAAATGAAGTAAGTGAAACTGAGAGAGGGTAAGACACAAGCCCAGGGCCACACAGCTAGCATGTGTCTGAGTCAGGACTTGCACTTGAGTCTCCCTGACTTTACCCAGTACGTAATGCAGCCAGAACTGGAATCGACGAACTCTGACTGTAAAGCCAGTCCTTCACCCAGTGAATCATGCTGCCCCTCTTCACTGCAGGTAGAAGACATAGTCTCTGTCCTTGAAGAGCTTACCATAGAAAGACTTAGCTCAATGTATCAGATATAGGAAAACGGGAAGACAGCAGTGTGGCAGAGTGGGAAGACTACTAAGAAACTGAGTTCAAATCTCACCTTCGTCACTACAGATGTGTGACTTTGAAGCAAGTAATTTAACTGCTCTGTGCCTCAGCTTCCACACATGGGTAAAAGTGGATTGGATCATCTATCTAGTTGGCCTCTGGTCCTTTTCAGCATAAATTTACATTTATATGACCAAACTGATGGTAAACTATTTAGAGCTACGGGAACATGTAGTTTTTAAGACCAAGTACTATCCAGGAAGCTTTTGAACTCTGAGAAGGAAAATGTTACCAAAAAAGGTCAAAACAAATAGCTCTATTGATTTCCATACAGTATATAATCTAAATATTAAAGATCTCATTATAAAAAGGAAAACAGGAGGTGGTACCTTTCACAGCTATGACTGGGGAAAGGACTTTTTAAAAATTACTGCTAGCTTTTGTTTTTATATCACCTTAATTTCCTTATATATTCCTTCTGCTCCCCTACCCTGCTAGCCACAATCTCTTCATAAAAAATAAGGGAAAAAAAGGCTTTAAAAAGCCCAACACATCAATTAGGCAGTTAGTCAATGAAAAATGATCAGATGCCTACTATGTGCCAGGCACTGTGCTAAGCTCTGAGGAAGCAAAAAGGGGCAAAAGACAGCCTTTGCCTTCAAGGAGCTCACAATCAAATAGGCAAGACAAGCAAACAAATATGTACAAACAAGCTATTATACAGGATAAATAGGAGATAATTAAGTGAGGGAAGACACTAGAATTAACAGTGGTTAGGAAAGGTTTCTTGTAAAAGATGGGATTTCACTGGGACTTGTAAGGAAGCCAGAAAAGCCACTAGGCAAAGATGAGGAGGGAGAATGTTCCAGGCATAGGAGACAGTCAGAGAAAATACACAGGGCCAAGATGTTGAGTTGTCTTATTTGTGGAACAGTCAGGAAGTCATCATCATGGGATAGAAGGCTATACTTCGGAGACTAAGGCTCTACGTGGAAAGGGTGGCAGGATGATGGTACCAAGGGACAACTGAGGGGGAATACAAAGAGCTGCTGTGCCCTTCCAACCTTCTGACCCAAGTCAAGATTGTCTCTTCAAATCCTTTCTCTCCTTAGTTTTCACATTGAACTTTCTCTCACTCCCACTCCCCTCTTTAATATATACGTTTGTGTACACACACACACACACACACACACACACACACACACACACACACACACACGGGAACACTTCATTTTCCCTAAGGAGGAAAAGCAAAAGGGTCATCCTTAAGCCTCTTTACCTTATCTTTGTAGTAGAAATTAGCTTGTGCTTTGAACAAATTTTGTCACTTGGCCATGAAGAAACACAAACATCTCACATTTAATTCAAGTCACTGAAAAATCTCTACTCTCCAACTACTGGAAGTGAGATCTTCTGTCCTAGTCTTTCTTGCTAGGAGCTCTTGAAAAACTGCTATGGTAAACTGCACACTGACATTAACGGATATTCCCTTCTCATGGTTAGTACCTTATAAACACTTAACACCCAACTTCCTTTCCTTTTACTCATTCCCCTTTTTTTGTTGTTGTGTTAACAACCTGCCTTAACTTGTTTTACTTATTATCTTCATTTCAAGTCCTCTACCACAATCTTCTGCCAATGAAGCTGGAAGTATAATGTATTCCACCACTTTTACCTTTCAAAACACCTTTTTCTTTTTTTCAAAAACTATGTTGTCTTCTTATTGTTGTCATTCAGTCATGTACAACTCTTCATGACCCCATTTTGGGGTTTTCTTGGCAAAGATACTGTACTGGTTTGCCATTGCCTTCTCCAGCTCATTTTCCAGATGAGGAAACTGAGGCAGAGTTAAGTGACTTGCCCAAGGTCACATAGCTAATAAGTGTCTAAGACTAGATCTGAACTCAGAAAGATGAGTCTTTCTGACTCCAGGCCTGGCATTCCATCCACAGAGTCACCTAGGTGCCCCACTGTCTTCTTAAAAGGCTCTAAATTTGGGAAGGGAGGTGGGAAGAAAGGGGGAGAAAAATTTAAAACTCAAAAGCTAACGGAAGTGATTGCTGATAAATCAAAATAAATTAATTTTTTAAAAAAGGCTCTAAATTCTTCATGGATAAAAATTGTATTAAATTTTTTGTACATAACATAGACCAATAGCATTCATATACTGACACTAAATGAAATTACAGTATCAAACTTAAATAATTTTCCTTTCACTTAAAAATAGTATTCTGCATATTTGCAATAGACAGTTTTTCCTCTTTTCTCAATGGGTAGAGGGAGAGAGAATTTGGAACCAAAAAAAAAAGAAATTAAATTTTCTTAAAATTGATATGTTGGCTTGGCCTAGATTTTTGGGTTTCTAAGGTCCTTTTCAGCTCTTAAGTTTTCTGATTCATAGTATAAGCCTGCTATTTAATTTGGATAAGAAAGCATACTCCTGATATATGCAAAACAGGGTTAAAGAAGGTTGTCTTTTGTGATTTTTTAACATTTGGAACCACTAAGTTTCATAGACATATTTTACCACTGCTTTATAAAATCAATTTTGGATACTCACTGATTCCATGCTTATTCCAACTTGTTCGCAAACCATCCTAATTAGGCGTTTAATCCAGTTAAGCATCTAGATGGCAAAGTCTTCACAAATTGTTATTTTCAACATTTCAAGCACACATATCAGCACATGGTCCATAATCAAACTGAAATTTAAAAAGAGAAGCATTTAGATTGGCATACTTTCAATTAACATTATCAATTGGAATAATATAGTAGCAGGAACACAGGACTCCAAGACACCAAATTGGTTCTAGTCTTAGCTCTGCCACTAATTTGCTGGGCACCTTAGGAAAGCAATTTAAAATAAGGAGGTTGGTTTTTAAGGTTCCAGCTCCAATATATTTCAAGAAACACTTATTAAACACCTACTCTATCTGAAGTACTAGGGACAAAATAAAAAGAAGCCGTCCCTGCTCTAAAGCAATTTACATGCCACTAAGGGGAGGGAGAGAAGGGGGAATTATGACATTAGTACAAGTATATATTACACAGATTTTATAATCAAATAGTTAAACAACAGAGTTAAGCATGCCTATCATCATTCTATGCACTCCTGTTCCTATTCACAAAAAGCTTATGATTAACTTAGCTAGGGAGAGGAAACATGAAAGAACCATGAAGACCACTTAATGGTGCCATAGCTGTTATGGCCCCTTGCACTCTGCAAGGGCCTCATGGCCAATTAAAAGATTCAGATATAATTATGTGCTGTGGATTCCAATTGGAGAATCAAATAGGATATATTTGCAATTACGGCTATATATTTGTCCTTATGTATTGGGCAGTTAGAGGGACTCACTGGGAGCAGGAGTTGATTCTCTCTTGACATTTTCCTTTCTTAATAGGTGAGATTGTGCTATGTAAAAAGTTAAACCCAAAAAACGAAAGAATCTACCAATAACACACACAACCCTCTTCTAAAAGCCTTGGGCAAGTCATCTCTCTGTGAATCTCACTTTTCTTACCAGTAAAGTGAGGGGACTGGACAAGCTGACCTCTTAGATCTTTTTCAGCACTAAATCTATAATTACATCTGAAGCCAAATTTATAGGACTGAAATTTTTGGGTGCAGTCTGCTGACTCTCAGTCTCATGTCAAGATACAGGTACAAAGCTACTAAACACGTCTTTAGGAAATATGAATTTGGGGAATGTTCCTCCAGGCCAGAAGGGAATCATTAGCTCAGGCCAACTGCAGATGTGGTGCAAACAGTTGGGATGATGTTCCAAAAAGAATGCAGCTGCCCAAAAAACATTCACTTTATATAAAAGCCTCTATCAGTTCTTCACATTTTGTTTGAGAAAAGGGACTAGTAGTTTGGAAGGTTTCTTCCTTTAGCTACAGGTGATTTTGAAAACTCTTAGGCAAAAGTTATTAACTTTTTGCATAGACCTTAAGAGGTCTACACAGATAATTACTCAATCTCCATTAAGTATCCTACTCCCCACCCTCCAAATCTGTAAAACATGACAGAAATGGAAAGATAAGCAGTAGGAAGTTTTCTTTATCTTTATTATTCAAAAAATACATTTAAAAAATTGTCTGTGACCTTGAGCATATATTCCCACTAATCAATGACTGACTGAATGAAAAAACATTTATTTAGTACTTATTACTTGCCAAGCCTTAGACAGATAGAGTAACAACAGTCAATCAACAAGAGTTTAAAGAGTCAATCAACAAGCATTTATTAAGTACCTACCCTGTACTAGGCACTATGCTTGTCCCAGGCTTGTTCAGTAATGGAATGGAGAACTCTAAAACAGACAATCTTATGTCCGTGAAATAGATCAAGAGACAAATACAACAGCTAGGGGAAAAACACCTATCATTACAACATCTATATAAATCCTCTCTACATAGAGAATAGGCTAAATACATATGTATAAATGAAATTCACGTCTATGCTCACATCAGTATTTATTAAACATGTGCAAGGCAGCTACATGAATGAGCACATGTAATCTCTCATCACTATGAGTCTTTGAATCATCCTTCTTGTAAATCATTTATTCAGTTGTTAAATATTGTGATTCTTTATTTGAAATATTTCTTGTACGTATCCCGTTCTCTTTCTTCTTCTACCACCCTAGTTGACATTTTTATCAATTCATTCCAGGATCAGTACAAAACATTAGCTAGACTTATTTCATCGATCTTCAATTTATCCTGCACAGTCCTGCTCATGTTTCGTGATTTCTCTGATGTGGATATTAACCTCCACTGATGCAGATCACAAAGCTGAACAGCACTGAAAGCCATCTTCATGAGTCACTGTGGCCAAAAAACGCCTTTAATATCCACAGGCAACCTTCTGCCAGCCTCCTTGGATGTGCTTCCACCCTCTTCCTCCTCTTCATCATCATCACGATGCCCAAGTCCCCTTCCCCTTGCAGCTTCCCCTCACAGATTATAAGCTCCTTGAAGGCAGGGACTATATTTCTTTTACTTACATCTACTGAATTGAACAGAACGTACTTTTAACAACACTTCCTGTTTAAAACAAAAGGTGTGTCTGGGATAACTTGGCACATCAAGCTTAAGTTTCTCTTCCTGGCAGCAAGGTTCAGTGGCTAGAGGGCCAGACTTGCAGTTATGAACTCTTGAGTCTGAATTATATCTTAGACACTTAGTAGCTGTGTGTCCATGAACCAATCATCTAAGCCCTGTGGACCTGTGTCCTGATCTGTAAATATTCTGTAAATGATAATAAAGATATATTTGAACCATCCAACTCATGGATTATTTGTGAGGAAAGTGTTTTACAAATCTTAAAGCATGACATCAATGTGTTATTATTCAGCTTAACTTCCTGGCAGTCCCTGCTGGTACCCTCTGCTCTAAGCAGCTGGGATCTCTACATTTAAGATGTATTCCTTCTACTTCTGTTCATGTTTTTTAACCTTGTTGAGAATCCACATAATGCAGGAACTATCCTATTCCTCTCTCCTACTTATTCATATCCTACTCATTCTTCGAGCCCCATTTCCCAGGGCAAATAACAAGGGCTCGCTACATACTTATGATTAGGTATTTGTTCTCACCTCATATCTATATTTTCTCTTTTTTTGTTGTGCTAATAAGTCAACAAGCATTTGTTTACTACACAAGGCACTGTGTAAAGTGCCAGGGATACAAAGAAAGGCAAAAACACTATCTGAACTCAAGAAGCTCACATTATAATGAGGAAGTCAACATGTAAATAATTAGGTACACACACAAGAATACAGGGAAAGGGTGAGATGGTGTATGTATGGATCAATGGATAAGGAAAGGGCCCCCTGCAGTGAGCTGAATTTGAGCTGAGTCTTTAAAAAGGGCAGGAAAGCCAGGAGGCAGAGATGAGAAAGCAGAGCAGCTAGGGCTTAAGGCATGTAGCTGGAAGGACACTGTTGTATTAGTGAGACTTCAAGTAGGCCAAAGTTGTAGATTACAGAATTCATGGAGGGAAGTGTAAGCAGGCTGGAAAAATAGGAAGGGGCCATGTTCTAAAGGGCTTTATTTGCCAAATAGTGGATTTTATATTTGATCCTGGAGATGATGTGGAGCAACTGAAATTTATTCATATTTATTATTATTTAATTTATTCAGTAGTTGCCAAAATCACTTTGGAAGCTGAGTGGAGGACAGATTGGAGTGGGTGGGGAAAGACCTGAGGCAGGGAGACCAACCTGCAGGCTATTTCAATAGTCCAGGCAAGAATGAATGAATAAAGCATTTATTAAACTCTTGTTGCATGCAAAGCACTGTGCTATGCACTAGGTGTAAATTCAGGGAAACTGGTCTCCTGGCTATCCCAGGAACAAGACACTCTATCTCTCAGCTTTGGGCATTTTCTCTGGCTGACCCTCATGCCTGAATGCTCTCTCTCCACTCTGACTACTGACCTCCTGTTAGGTCCTAACTAAAATTCCACCTTTCCTAACCCCTCTTAATACCTTCCCTCCGTTAATTATTTCTTATTTGTCCTATGTAGAGTTTGCTTTGTAAATATTTGTTTGTACTATCATCTCCCTCATTGGAAGGGAAGGGACTGTTTTTTGCTTCTTTTTGTATCCCCAGCACTTAGCACAGTGTTTGGAACATAGCAGGTGCTTAATAAATGTTCATTTACTGATTGAAATAGAAAATAAGACAGTGCCTGATTTCAAAGAGCTTACATTCTAACGGGGGAAACAAAATATATAAAAAGTTTCAAATGTAAGTAAGCTTTTGGGTACAGTTTCAAAGCAGAGGTTAATGTCATTTAACAGTCTTTAATGTCAATTCCAATGATAAAATGAAATCAATTTCTGATAAAAGTCAAATCTGAAAGCCTGTTCTCAGTTCTTAATCTTCTTGACCTCACCCCCATCTTTGACACTTTTCACTATCTTTTCCCCTTGCAGTCCCTCCTGCCTGCACCTTCGAGAGACAGCCCTTTCCTAGGCTTTGTCTTCTGATGCATTTTACCTTCACAACAGATTCTGAAATTTAGTTACCAATCTATTTCAGATTCTCATCTTACCAATAAGCCTTCTGCAAAAGCTTCCTAATTAATCTCTCTGCCTCCAGTCTCTCTTCCCTCTCTAATCTTCACACATCTGTCTAAGGGATATTCTTAAAAAGCACAGGTTGACCACATCACCCCCCCCCCCGCAACTGTAAGCCCTCTGCAATCTCGCTTCAACATTAATTTCCTGACTTATTTCACCTTCCTCTCCCACATGCATTCTATTTTCTAGCCCAAATGGTTTACTCACTTTCCTGTACAAAACACTCTCATTCATTTCCGTGCCCTTTGTACAGACATCCTTTCTCATTTCCACCTTTCAGAATCCCTAGCTTCCTTAAAGGTTCAGTTCATACGCCACCTCCTATATAAGATCTTTCCTGATTCCCCTTGGTGATAAATGATCCCTCCCACCCAATTAATCTGTCTTTCCTCTGTACATATTTTGTGTATACTTATCTGTGTACACGTTGTTGTCCACTCCTTTCCCTCACCCCCAAGAACGGAAGCTCCCTGAGGATAAGAGCTGCTTTCCTTTTTTTGTCTTTGTGCCACACTGCTAGGCACTTGGAGTCAAAGCAAGCACTTAATAAATGCTTGTCAAATTGGACAGGAAGGATGAGCAAGATTATGCAACAACTTCTCCCTTCA